ATAAGCATAATTTATTTTTAAAATAAACTGGTTTCTTTTCTGAATAATAACATGTTTATCCACATTTGCATTTTTTGTTTTTTTAATTATTTTAACTGCCATTTTTATTTTCTTATGTCAGTGTAATTCTATATCTTAAACATCCTTAATCATTATTTGACTTTATTAAGAAGAGAACTTTAAAAGAGAGAAGGTTTCACTATGTGGATTTATATGTCATTTACTTCCGTAGCGGACAATTCAATGTCTGCTACAAAATGTTTTACTTATAAAATAACTCTTCCATAGGTAGATGGGAAAATAAATCCATAAATTAAGGCTCTAAGAACTTTAGACAGAAATGAGAACTTCCACTACCATCCTCATCCCCAAAGTAGCACATGTCCTCAATGTATAAGTTGCCATTCTTCAGGGGATTAATTACAGGACACTTCTGAAGTGAGAACTATTTTTGCCAAAGTTTTGCCAAAATTTTGCCAAAGTTCACTTACAAATCACAAATGTTTTATTCTTCCTATACCAGTGAAGAATATAGCAAGAAACTAATGGGAAAAAACCTGACTGCATATAGTTTTAAATTATGCCTTAAGAAAGCATGGGATTATCCCTGAGCCCATCTCACCAATAAAGATAGACTAACTTCCCTGTGGTAGTTTTATTCATAATTGCCTAAACTTGGAAGCAGCAAAGATGTCCTTTAGTGGGTAAATGGGTCAATAAACTATGGTTCATCTAGACAATTAACTATTATTCAGCACTGAAAATAAGTGATCAAGCCATGAAAAAACATGCAGGAGCCTAAATGCATATTACTGAGTGAAAGACGCCAATCTGAAAAGACTACATACTGTATGATTCTACAACATTCTGGAAAAGGCATAACTACAGAGACAGTAAAACAATCAGTGGTAGTCAGGGGCTAAGCAGGAGGGAGGGTGAATAGGTGGAGCACAGAATTTTTAGGGTAGTAGACTACTCTGTATGATATTATAATGGTAGATACATGTCAATGTATATTTGTCTAAACCCATAGAATATACACCACCAAGAGTTAACCCTAATGTGAACTATGAGCTCTGGGGGATAACGATGTGTCAATGTGGGCTCATCATCTGTACCACTCTGCTGGAGGATGTTGAAAATGTGAGAGACTATGAATATATAGGAGTAGGGAGTATCTTTATCTGCTCAATTTTGCTGTGAACCTAAAACTGCTCTAAAAAATAAAGTCTATTAAATAAAAATACTCTTGGCTGGAGAAAGGAGGAGAAGAAAATGATAGACATTGTAAGGTCTCCCCGAAAGATGGCCTTATTCCTTCATCTCTAGGCAAACAACCTCTAGGGAATTTCAGAATCAGAGAAAAGACGCCCAGTTCTTGCTCTCATTGAAACCCAGGAAGACAACAAGGTTCCCTCCATTCTAGGGAGAAAAGCATGTTATCTTTAGTCAAAGATGTCTGAGCCCTTCTGGGTTCCCTGTAGCCACAGGGTGAAACAAGAGGGCACTTTTCTTATATCCCTTAGAGACAACCAACAGTCCTAAAGTGGTCTTGCCAGCACACAAAAAGGAGTGATATCACCAGACAAAATGAGATGTCACATGTCTCAGATGTTTGGAGTGGATACAGATATCACTGAGAATATGGGCAAATGATGACAAAGGAGCAGATGTCACAGTCCTCTGAAGCCTGTGTTCTACATACAACTGCAAGAAGAGTCATGTGGGGAGAAACTATGAATGGATCCAAAAATCTCAACTTCAATAAGAAAACCTTGAGTTAATAAAGTAAAAAGAGTATTAATATTTACCTCATTTAGCTGGTAGAAGGATAAAAATGTATAAATGTGGGAAAAAAAACTCGTGGTTGAAATGGATTTGTCAGAGGCTACTTTAGTTTTTCTAAAAGTAATGTTTCCATTAAATGAAGAATTCACACAATATTTAGAGCGAAAATTTAATTATACTAGACTGTTAAATTCCTGTTTTTCACAGTTCAAAAATGCCATTTTGTAATAAAGGTATTTTACAAATTCTGTGGTTAAAATATTCCAACTTTTGTGATTAAGCCTCAAATTTAGAAACATTATAGTCAATGAGCTTCGTAGAAAAGTCATTTTTTCTTATTGAATTTTAGGAAATATTTTGAAAAAATATGTAACTGTAACAACTAAATGTAGCACATTTAGAGCTACAGTCCTCTGCAAGGGCTTGCCTGGACTTGCTAAGCTCCAATCTCACCTGTATCTCATTGTTCTTTTTGACTCAAAGGGTTGTAAACATTCTCTAACCTTCTAGTCCTTACCTTGAAAAACAACACAGCATTTACATTTTCCCAGGTACTTCTGTAACCAAATCAACTCTCTCCTCTTTGTATAAGGCTTCTTGTCACTAAATTATAACTTACAGCCAAGGCATCAGAGTTTAAAGTCTATATTTTGTCATTTGATTTGTACAAAGCGGTCAATACTATCAAAAAAATATACCTTGGTGAATTTTGAGTCATTATTATCATTGCCCCAATGATATCAATGCCTTTTAGTGGATTTTGAGGGGAGAAAAGGCAATAGAAAAAAAAATGAACAAATTAAACTACTATTAAAATATCTGTCAAGTATTAATTGATCAGTCTATATTTGTTCCCTGTAATATAAAGTATTTAGAACAGAATATCTTAAGATTTATTCAGGTGCAGATGTTTCCAGATTACATAATTTGACTATCAGATGGTTTTAGTTATAATCATAAATACAATCAAATTAGGGTGAAAATGAAAGACAATTGTTTTATGGCATCCCGAGGAATATAAAAAATAAAGCTGGCTATAAAAATAACTAGTCAGAAGAATTTCTATGACTATGGAAGCAAATCTTTTTAGTCCTTATGTAAATGTAATTTCCTTCTGGCTTTCTTCTAATAATGGAAAATCTATATGCATTTGCAAATAGAATATTGGTATGCTTCATTGACATTTAATGAGTTCTAATATGGTCACACTGTGCACTTCTACAATCATTTCTGCCTCTACATGATACTAATTGGATCTTTTCCAAAACACATTAGGCCATTTATGCTGTTTGTTGTCTTAAAATGTTCCATTGCCAATTATCTCCAAAAATTTGCTCCAGAGTTTGCTTCTGATTACAGTCATTAAATGTACTTTAACATTTTAACTTTTCAGTAAAAGAGAAGGTCCTTGTTTTGCTAGAACATTTTCCAGTTGCAAATCCCTTCACAAAGTTAAAAATATATATTGAGTATAAATAAATCCATTTATAATTTCTTTCTTGTCCTAAGCAAAATAAAACTCAGCAGGCTCTAGAAATCATGTTGTGACTCTGAGGACACAAACATATGAGAAGCAGAGTTGGGGGATTGAGGTGAAAAAGAATTCTAAACATTTAGAAACAGCTGCTTTTTAATATCTCAAGAGATGTTATTTTGATATATTATACAAATGTATTTTCTGAAGCAGCAGAATCTGAGTACTAAAGTCACACTGCCTGGGACTGAATTCTGTTTTCACCACTTTTTCCGTATACAATAAAAGTTCTCTGATTAAAGTACATTTTTCTCTTTAGAATTTTGCCATGTTTTGATACATGAGCAGAAACCAAACTATAAATAGCAGGATGCAAATTTTGTTTCAAAATATGTAATATGTAGCCTTATAAATATAGACTGTAAATATGTACACTAATCTCTTTCATTATTTTTGGTTAGCTGACAATAGGTAGACACAGTCATAGTTTTATCCTTATTACTAGTCTCACAAGTTTTAGTCATGCCCACTAATTGAATAGTTTCAGCTATTAAGGCTGTAACTGTTGATCCCTATATCTTGTCAATCAATATTTGTCTTCATCTACAAATATGGTAACACCAGCATTTTAAAAAGTGAGGATGGCTGTCATGAGAATGTTGGAGTCTTACTCTCCTACAGTCAGAACCAGAACTCTCTCCACTGGGAAATGTCACCATAGAAGATTAGTTGGCTGCAAAATTATAGCAAAGATGAATTTGGTCTCCATTATCCCCACTACAGTTCCTTCCTGGTTCCTCTCTCAAATATCTCTTCTTAAGAATCTGACACATATTCTAAAGATCAACTAGATTGCCCCATTATTTTAACGCCTACCTGCTTCCTCCTTTGTCTATTCATACCCATATTTTAAAAGGGCATTTCAGTCATTGTGAGACAGATGCATATTTTCCAAACACAGAGGTTTAGATTTGTAGTAAGGTTTAGAGGACAATTTTCTTCCGTCATCACTATACAGGATGTTAGATCCTAGAGAGTTGACACTTACCTGCCTTACTCAGAGTTTAGCTTAGTGCCGGGCAAATAGAAAGGGTTCAAAGTTGGTTGTTAAACTGAATAAATGTGGTCAGTGATTAGCAACTTAGCGCACTGGTTTAATTCTATTAGACCACATAACAAATTACTGAAATCTCCTGTTCATAGATGGGTCTTCCCAACTAGACGCCACGTTCCTCAAACGTAGAAACCTCATTTTTTCTCACCAACCCCAGCGGGAGTCTTGGCATAGAGAATTCCCTCTTGCTAGCTCTCTTACTTATTGAAATTAAATGGTTATAAATCAGTATCGGAAAGTAAAGCGTGAAGGAGAAACTATGAGAAATGTAAAGGCTGTAACAGGACTGGTTTGCTGGAAAGACGGAAGAAAACTAATAATAAAGCAGTGTTACAATTCCTGCTTCTGGTGCACCAATTAAGCTTTTCTGCGCTCAGATTGCCTTAGCAACTTTGGAGCGCTTTCGCCCCAACCCCGCCTCCAGCCTCGCCCCAAGTCCATCTCTCTCTTCATCCGACTACCCCAAACCCTTACTTCCGCCCCAACCTGCCAGCTGGGACCTAGGGTCCTACACTCTATGCCCACGCTTATCCTGCCTGACTAAAAATATGGTATCAAATTACCAAAGTTAGAAAGATGTTTTATAAATATAATCCATACTTTTTTCTCAGATATATAAACGCAAAAGCACAAGGCATTTGTAATTTAAAAGCGCTACCTAGCATGAGCTCTTAGGGCCAATTTTCAGGCAGTGCGTTGGATAGCAACAACTTCGGAGGTCCCCGGCTTGCAGAGGGAGACGTGGAAGTGAGTGGAGCCGGGCGGTCCTGAGCACACTAGAGGAAGTCGTGCTACTCCGGGGAGTTAGCGTTTGTTCTAGATTCATCCCGGCACCACCATGTAAGTGTTTGCTTACCGACTGCCTTAATCCCTGGTCCCGCTGCGCGACCCTGACTCTCTCCCGCTCCTTTCCTTAGGTCGAAGGTTTCCTTTAAGATCACGCTGACGTCGGACCCACGGCTGCCGTACAAAGTGTGAGTAGCTCGGCCGAGATGGGCCTTTTGTGGCCGGACAAGACGGGGCTGGGTTGAGGGTGATCCGAGCCTTTCCAACAACTACCCCGTGCAGTCTTCGTCTCTTCAGTTTCTCTACCTTCCTGGTTCGCGCCCTTCCAGGAGTCTCTCCCACCGGAGCCTGCGAGGAGAGGTCCGCACTTGCTCGCTAAGTAGCAGCTTGGCAGCTTGGCCCCAGCACGAGGGTGTGGGTGTGTTTCTCATTAGTGACCTCCCCTCGGAATTCATTTGGTGGGCAGATGGAGCGGGAGGACAGGTGGACCAGGTTCTGGTAATTTGCTGGGATTCTTAAACAGCCCCCATCTGCTGGATATTAGAAAAACGTTTCACCGCTTTAGCCAGCTGTTTGAGGAAGTTAAGGAAGATATTCCATCCTGATAGTCAAGACTTTGAAATTACTTGAACATTTGTTATTCCGCGGCTTCTGAGTTTTGTTGTGTATGAGTAACTCAACAATCGGGCATCACAAAGTAATGAGACTCGGCTCACACCCTTCCTGTGTTGGGATTTAATAGAGTATTTAGTAGGAATGGGAAATGCAGAAGAGGAGGATAGTTTATCCATGTGGGGCCTTTACTTCGCAGTTGAATGATAGATTTTAAGTAAACCCTCTTGAGGTTATTGCAGTTGGAAGTAGCATGAAATGTATCAAAGAACAGGATTACAGTAGGATTTTGTGCATAATTAATTAGTAACGTGGCCTACCTAGCTGTTCAGTTATTTACCAATCCATGATCCATACAACCTCTCAGCCTTTTGAACCCTTATTCTTTTCATCTCCCAAATATCCTTTTTACACTTTATCTCAGGTGTTCATGGTTGCAGCCTAGAACTGAAGAGTCCAATAATTGCTCCATCTCTAAGATGTCGTTTACAGGCACTCTTATGGATAAATACATTCTCTCCTACCTGATTTACTGTAATTTCTCTTCTACAACGGTTCATTTAATCCATCAATCACAGTGGTTTTTAATCTATAGCTATCCCAACTTCTATTCCTTACCTTATTCCTTATATAGTTAAGAGTCTATTGGTGCATCTTTAAATCATTCTCATGCAAACGACCTCAACTCTGGTGGCCCTGTCTCTCCTCCCAGCATATTTTGGTTAGTGAAACACCAGCTCTGAAACCAGCTATTTGTATTATCTGTACATAACTGACTGCCCCTGGCGAAAATAACAGACTGGAGGGTTTTACGTTAAGTTCATGACTACAATTAATAGTACCTAGTACTTTACTACATTCTTCAAGTTTGCTCATTTTCCTGCTTATTCTCGGAAAGGATTGTTTAAAAATTTCAAACTTTCCGCAGCTGCTCTCTCCCTTGCTCTCATGCCATCAGAGGGAAATTCTATCATCTTTCCACCAATATAAACCTACCACTGCATTGATATATCCGTTAATTTCCCATCCTTTTAGAATGGAAAAAATGACTTCACTCCTGTGAAAAACCACTTGAGCTCTGGTTCCCATCTATTTCAGTCTTGTCAAGGTTAAAGTAGATGGAGTCCAGTGCCCCTTCTCTTCTCATTATTGGTTTTTTCCTCTATACTGGATTATTATTCTCATCAATATGCAAATGTACTCTAGAAAGAGAGCGTGAGAAGGAAGGAAGAAGAGGATAGCGTAGGACAGTAACATTAAGAGCCTGGAACATTGTACCAGTTCAGTTAATGTGTGGTGACTGAATGAATTTAGTAGGTACAACTGTTGTTTAGTATGTGTGTGTGTGTGTGTAGTTGTGTGTGTATGTATGTAAGGATGTGTGTGTGTAAAATTCACATAACGTGTAAATGTGTGTACAAGGATATCTGCGCTGTATTTTCAAAGTAAATGGTAACTAGTACTTGGGTACTTGACAAGCTTGCCCTTTTAATCTTTCCTTCCTTTACACTTGTTCTTTTCTGTGCTTAGAATGCCGTCTCATGACCACAACATATTTTATAATAATAAAAATCTCACCTCTATGAAATTTTTTTTTTTTTTTTTTGAGCGAAAGTCTCGCTCTGTTGCCCAGGTTGGAGTGCAGTGGCGCGATCTTGGTTCACTGCAATGTCCACGTTCTGGATTCTTCTCCTTCCTCAGCCTCCCGAGTAGCTGGGACCACAGGCGCATACCACCATGCCCGGCTAATTTTTTGCGTTTTTAGTAGAGACGGGGTGTCACCGTGTTAGCCAGGATGGTTTCCATCTCCTGACCTCATGATCCTCCCACCTCGGCCTCCCAAAGTGCTGGGATTACAGGCGTGAGCCACCACTTCTGGCCGAAGATTTTTCTAATTGTTCACAGAGTTAATCTGGCCCTTTCGTTACCTGTGGACTTAGTCTTTATAATAATTCTTACCAATTAATCTTATTATTTTGTTTATATGAGATATTTATTTTTAAAAAAGATGCCAGGAATGTAGTTTAAAAATTCTCATTAATGTAAATTTATTCAAAACACTGGGATAATTTAAGTACCTATTTTATGAAATGACTGGCAAATATAACTTTAGATAAGATCTGTGCAGTCACTGTAACTCTCATTTTCTCTAATTTTCTGCCAGTTAGAACTTGCACTAAAAGATGTTTTCATTTTTTATTTTTATTGGCTTGTCTGTGGACACTCACCAACTTAATATACAGATAGAAACTTATTTTAATGAGCATCAATATGACATCTAGGTATATTTTAAGGACATCTCCAAGTCTCCAATTTAAAAGTTAATTGAACTCCGAGGGTTTGGAAGTTCTCCGATGGATGCAGAGTTTTAGGAAAATGAATCTCAGCTTCTTAACTACATATATACTGCAAAAATACTTTGTAACAAACTGTTGCCTAGTTTGTAAACTACGACATTGCCAATTGATTAGTTTTTAAACAAATAGCTATCCTTTACATGTTTTTATTTTTTGTACCCCCAAAAAACATTCGTGAAGAAAGGGTAAAAATGATACTCATTTTCATCCTTTACTAGTATTTTGGAGTTGTGGAATGAGGGCAGCCAAGTAATCTATTCACATTTCTATTACTGAAAACTGGTACCATATGCTGTTCCTGATACAACAATTCTTGTAGTCAGAGATCTGTAGACTGAGTGAGGAGCCTGGGCATGTTACATGAGAATAATGGTAGCTGGTATTAAGACACTTAAGAATAATACAATAATACGGTGGTGACAAATAGAGACGGTTTCAGTGAGAAATGTTAGCTTGTCAGTCTCCTCTGCTTTGAAAGATTGTTTTCTGTTTTCCCTCGTTGTAATTTATGTTACCTTAGGAATCTTGTTTTTTAAAAGAAGGTTTAAAAACCTCTTACTGTGTCTTTAAGTGTTTTCTTAAGGTATAAAGTAAATTTCTGTTTGGAATTTTTTTATTGGAAAATTAATACAGATTGACCCTGGGACTAAGTCATTAAGAAAAAAAAAAAATCTATTTATTCATGATCTTTAAAATACTTGCCATTTTACGAGTCAGTTAACAAAATCATCCCTCTCCAAAATGTTATTTCACATTTTTACTTAGCCCATTTTAAATGATGGTGGGAAAATCACTTCATTATTGGCATTTTGCCATAATAAACTTCATGCATTTTCATTAATTTGGTCTACTAATTTTGAACATGATTATTAAGAGTGCACAGAAGGTTCATCAAAAGCTTTATGATCCAGTGATGCTTCCCAAATAACCTTCTACTTATAATGAAAATGGTAACTTTAATGGGCCAAGTGCATAGGTATTTAGATGGGAGGTAAAGTGGACTGAAGACCAAGGAGAGCTTCACCTTTTTGCAATCCGTCTCTAGAAACAAACAGCAGTTCATATGCTAGACTTATGTGTATCAAAGTGTTAGAAATATGTAAATCTACACCTGTAGAGGTTAATTCTCAAGTGGAGCTCGGGCACCTTGCCAGCGCCAAGGCTAGTTGCTGTTTGGGTTGTGATTATTATTGTTTTGAGTTAAAGAATGTAGTATGCAATCAAAATCACTAACTTTGAAACTGCAAAGTCAGCTTTGTCCAGATCGGCTACAGTAGCGGGAATAAGGAACGAAGGGGCTTTTTTAGAAAATGCTGACTTTAAAAGAAACTGTTTTAAAATTCTTCTTGCAGGCTCAGTGTTCCTGAAAGTACACCTTTCACAGCAGTCTTAAAGTTTGCAGCAGAAGAAGTAAGTACAGAAGTTGGAACAGCCTTTATGGAATGCGATTTGGCAGTAGGCTTCAAACGTCTTTAAGATTTGCATGCACTTTGACCCATCATTTCCATGTGGCTTCATTACTAGGTTTATGTTATCAAAAAGTTGTAAGTAGGATGATGGTTAAGACTTACTTTCAGATATAAGAAGCATGAGTTAAACAAATTGACATATCTGATTAATGCAACCATTGAAAATTATAAGAATTTATGAGGCTTTTTATGAAAATTAAAAAGGTACTGATTTTTAAATGTTTTTTTAAAATGCAACATTATATCACATTATATTCTATATACTGATATTTTACTAGTCTTGATTCCAAAATTACAATTTCATGAAATCTTTATCATAGTTTTCAGATTTTCTGTATGAGCATGTCAGTAAAATTTGTTGTTTTGAAAAGCTCCTAGTTTTTTTAAACGTGTTTAAGTTTTCTGTTGTATAAGAAATAATTTTTTTCATCCGAAATTATTAGAAATATCTATAATGCAACTTTTTGGGCATGACACTTGGAAAAGTAGCTTAATCTGGTAGAAATGGCACCCAAATGTTACTTGGGAGACTTAGGGTTCCTGTTATAGGTGTGTCATTAGTTAGTTGTATGACATAATGCAAATCCCTCTTTTTTATTCTGCAAAATGGAAGTAGTTAATACCTGTCCTTCCTCTCTGATCAAGTGATTTCGAGTAAAAACATTATTTACTGAAATTTTCTGTTGAGTTAAAAGTGCTAAATAGGTACGTTGTAACCCAAATCAAAACGTTTTGGTTCAGAATCTTTTGAAAAGTTTATAGTCACAGAAAAATAATTTTCTTAACTACATTAATAAAAAAATAGCTTAACACAGAATCCTGCCCTATACTTAACTGATTTATGGAAAGTCAGCCAATCCAATCAGTGCTCAAAGCTCCTTGTATTGTCAGGAATTACTAACATCATTTGTCACTCATTCAGAATTAAACTGCCAAATAGTAGCATTTGTTTTGTGTCGTGTTGATATATTCTTCATGCAGAAAGAATAAGTAAAATGAGATGTGACACAAATCTGAATATAGCATTGTCATTATTGTTTACTGCACAGATTACTTGCAAGAAATATTCCTAGTCTGGGGCATAACAGAATCCACAAATTCCAGATTTAGGAAGTAGATCTATACAAGCTCTAATTAATATTTATTATATTTTGTAGTTACTTTATTGTGTGTCCTTTTTATTATATTTTGTAGTTACTTTATTGTGTGTCCTTTATAATGCAAAGGCATTTTTGTGAGCCTGGTTTTGTAATAAAAGTAGAAGAAAATCTTAACATACAGTAGTGAATAAACTAAGAAACACCACACAACCATATATATTGATTAAGGTAGTTTATAAGTAAAGCTTACAGTAGAGTAAGCTATAGAAAAGAAAATATTAAGAAAATCATAAGAGAAAGTATATGTACTATTCATGAAGTGGAAGTGGATCACTATTATGAATCATAGGTGTTACATATTTAGAAAGGATATGACTTTCAGATTGTTGTGAGAGGGACTTTCATGAGATGGCATTGTAGAATCATTCAGTGAGAAAAAAGTTGACTCAAGAAAGCAAGAGTCTGGATTTAAATCCCTGGTAAAATTGCCTTAGTAGTGATAATAAAATTTCCCAGCACATGACTGGGGTACGTAATGAATTGTTGAAACCTGCAAAGAGCCCTAAATTATAAGAATTATGGGATATCTGAGGAGGAGAATAAATGAAAACAGAAGACCACAAAAGAATACTTTGCATTCAGTAGAAAACCTGTCAGTACAATAGGACAGAAAGGAATAGATTCTGCATTTTACGTCACTAGTGATGCTTCCTCATAGTTTAACCATTTCTTCCACATTCTGCTTAAAGGAAAAACTGTGTCAGCAATTGATTTTGGTTTTTAAAATCATAGGTTGCTGCTACATGGATGTGACTAAGAAAATACATAGCTTATATAAAATGAGCATGATGTAAAAGACTCAATCAGTAGGATAACTAAAAGCTTTGTAGGACTCTAGCTTTAGAAATCTGAGAGGCCTATAGTTAATTTGAGCGTTTGATCAAATTCTTATTGAGATTACAGCCTGTGCAAAATATCTGTGATGCACTTTTAAGTTTACTTAAGTACACTTTGAAATTCTTTAAAAATTTTTAAATCTTTAAAAGGACACGAGTGTACCACATTGAGATTAAAATGTGTTTATTAATTTGTACATAATACTAAAACAAATAATTGTTCTCAGGCATGTTTAAGGCCTTATTTTAAAAGCTGATTCTTCAATTTCTAATTTAAAATAAGCTTTTAGTTTTTCTCAACTGTGTGTATGTAATGATTATAAATGCCTAGAGTAGTGTCTCCCAGACAACTAGAACCACACACAAAGTAGTACCACCAAAAAAGAAAAAAGGGTCGGGGGGGATCGTGAAGAACAGGAATTATTGGTCAAAAAATATGATAAACAGTTCATTTCTGTTAGGAGTATATTAAAGTCTTTTGAGGAGACCACTAGTTAAACATGTTTTCCAAACTTACTTGATCACAAAATTGTAATATCTATAAAGTTAGTCCATAGCACAGACATGCTTCATAAGTATTTGTTGGATAAATGCATAAACTATGAAGACATAAACACACTTTCGCAACTGCTGGTCTCTTTAAGAGATGGAATCTACCTTTTAGTTACCAATAAATTCCATACCACATGTCATTGATTTTAGAAACACATCTTTTTAAACATCTCTAAAGTAGATCAGGGGAGACTTGCTATCACTGTTGGCCAAATGGCATTCTCATAATTGTCTAGGTAACGTCATCTACACTTAATTATTATTTCCTGATGACATAATTGGACTATTGCAATCCTTGAGCTTTAAATCAGCAAATCATTAAAGAAGAATGTAAGGAATACAAGCCTTGGTTGTTACCTGAAAATGTTATGTAGGCACCCGCCATTAAACACAGAGAGCATCTGTTCAGATCTTGCAATTTCTATGCAGAAATTTTAGGAATAATCTCATCAATTTATTTTGCATATGCTTTTTGCTAGTCAAGATAATTATAAATGACAAAAGTGGTGGATAAGTCCTAAAGAGTAAACATTGATCTGGGCATAAATTGACAGTGGTTTTTCATTTTTGTAATGCAAAAAATAAGGTACACTTTTATAATTAATGGTGTCCTAAATACAATCGAAAGCATTGTTTATAGTACAGGGGTTTTTTTTACAGATAAAGCATATGATACAGTCCAGTTGACCCTTGAATAACATGGGAGTTAGGGGTTCCAACCCTGTGTGCAGTTGAAAATCTGCATAAAACTGTTTTATTGATCAAAAACTTTACTAATAGCCTGCTGTTGACCGGAAGCCTTACTGATAACACAAACAGGAGATTAATATGTATTTTGTCATGTGTATTTTATACTGTATTCTTATAAGAAAGTTAAAGAGAAGAAAATATTAAGAAAACCATAAGAGAAAGTATATTTACTATTCATTAATTGGAAGTGGACCATGGGAAAGGTCTTAATCCTTGTCTCATGTTGAATATACTGAGGAGAAGGAAGAGGAAGCGTTGGTCTTGCTGTCTTAGGAGTAGCGGAGCCAGAAGAAAATCTGCATGTGTCATTCAAGGGTCAGCTGTACTTTCCTTGATGGTTTCACTTATTCTAAAAGATTAATCCCACTTTAGAATTATAGAATTAGTATTTGTACCCCATTCTTGCTAATTATAGTTTTGTGTGTGTGTGTGTATATATATATATATTTTTTTTTCCTTCTATTTAGTTTAAAGTTCCTGCTGCAACAAGTGCAATTATTACCAATGGTAAGAATTCGCTGTAAAATTATGTATTACCTCAAATTTATAGAAATGATGTAAAAAGAACCAAATTAATTAAAATGAAATACAGAAAGCCCCAAGTGTATGTGTATCCACATAAATGATATACTTAATGGTAAACACTAAGTCAGGGTTATGGTTCATAATTAGCTCCTCTCATTTCTTTGTGCTTTTGATATAGTATAGCACTTTATAATATCTTTTGTCCTTACCAGTTCATGCCAGATTATAACTGAAAATAACTTTATTTAGCAAGTTTTTTTTTTTTATTAAGTAAAGTTGATTTGGTAAATGCTTTAGAATATAGAAAGTTAAGCAGGAATGTACCTTTGCTATACCTTTCCTGATAGAAAATTGTATCTTGTAGGCTTGTAATAATGAGAATTTTATTCAGTTTTAGGTATATAATTAAAAATCTTAGTATCTTGGAACACTGATAGTCAATGATGATGCAATTAGTCTTGTGAGAAAATAGTGAAATAAGATGAGGAGTAAAGATTGCAGGGAGGGCTTAACTGTGTTTCAAGTATACAGTGTAGTGTTGATGAGTGCTGATGAGTTGCCCAAGTGCAGTTTGGATAAACTAACTGGAGATGGGTTTAATGTGCATGATGTAACTTAGATAAGATAGAATTTCTCACTGTAAAACATTCTGCATTCTGTCACATTGAAGTGTTTCTCTGTTGGAAAAAAGCTGGCTTACTACCTGGAAAGTTTTAGGTCATAACTTAGTAACGTGTGTTGAACTAAATGACTTCGCGAGCTCTCCCAGCCTTAAGATATTATGACCCAGAGTAATACGAAGATGATTCATGGCATACCTAAGGTGCTTTTTAGTTTTTTGGAAGAAATGACAAACATTATTTTTAATTCTATGTGGCAAAATAAGTTAATAACCTATTTTCCATAGAACTTACCAAGATCATTGCATTGACAGATGCTTTGGACTAACCCAGCAATGTGTATGAATGCAGAATAATAGATTTTAACAGATAATTTACCTGAAAGATTGTCACTCGTGTTCCTAGATTTAAATTATTTGACTTGTGTCTATATACACAGCAGCACTATTTTGGCAAATCTCTTTTCTTGCTAGTATTAAACCATTTTAGCTTTAGAAATAATGTATGTGATTTTACAACTTGTTTTCTAGATGGAATAGGAATAAATCCTGCACAGACTGCTGGTGAGTATCTATTTGAAAACTCATAGAGCAGTGGGTGAGGTTATATATGTCAATTGACACAGAATATGTAAGCTATTCTAATTATACTTGACAGTATTTTAACCTAATGGAGCTGTTTTTTTAGGGATTATATACCAGTCTTTACCTGTGTGTCTGAGTAATAAGTTGTTTCATTGTGTACATCGATTGTAGATGTTTTTGGCTACAAGTAACAGAAAACCTAATAGTGGGCTTAAGCATTAAGAGTATTTATTATATATAACAAAAAGTCTGTAGATAAGATTGCTTTCTCATTGGAGTAAGGATTTTTTGACCTACCTCTTAAGGTAGTTGTCAGATAGTAAATGTAAAGTGCTTAATAGCTTGGATAATTTATAGAAAGCATTCATTAAGTGCTATTATTATTATTTTTAATATAGTCATTTACATTTCAAAGGGCTGACTCTACACTCAGATTTTCAGACTGTTAAATTAATACAGGTGATATATCAGTGTCCTAACCAGGAGGCAGGGTAAAAGTAGTCTCATACTTTATAAAAAAGTAGTCTAAAACTTTAAAAAAAAATAGTTTTATATTTTTTAAATGTAGTCTCTTAGCCTTGTAATCTAAAGTTTTAAAATTAGGCATGCTTTAATGTAACCTCATTCTAGAGCAGTAGTCATTTTTAAATTATATTCTAAAGTATTTCTTTATTGTAACAAAATTATGTTGTTTTCATAGGCCTTGCGGTTGAAATTCAGCCATAGAGAAAATGAAGAGTGATTTAAAATTGCAAATTTTTGTTACTTCAGTAGTTTTTAATATATAATTTTATTAAAAAGGTTTATTGAAAATCATGAGGCACTTTATTGTATGGATGCCTTTAATCTGAGTAGAGAAAGGTTTCTTTTTTTCTTATTCGAGAAACTTTCGGTATTTTACAGTAGTTTGAATTACTGCTAACTCTAACATACTGCTTGTTATATTATCTTTAAAAATGGAATGTGCATATCATTGATATGAAGAAAATCTCAGCAGGCAATGGACCCCAAATATGTCAGGGTATCTAAATTTTTGTCACTTGTAGTAATTTACATTTTTTTTTCCTGTCCTGAGATATATTATTGTGTATTGAAGGAAGTATTCATGATTAAATTATTCACATTGTTACTTGCTGAAAGTATTTGTCAGCATTTTCATGTCTGGCGTTATTTTAAATTTTAAGCCTGTGTTGGATTGTGAAGATACGAGAATAGGAGCAAGACTTAAAAAGCATGGCATTGGGGTCTCATGATGCTTGAGCTTTTGTACCTATTTTACTGTTTACTAAATTATTTATTATATTTAATAATTGTCAGAATATTAAGATAACTTGATTTTTAGATACCTAACTTTATATTTTGTTTGTTTGTATAGGAAATGTTTTTCTAAAACATGGTTCAGAACTGCGGATTATTCCTAGAGATCGTGTTGGAAGTTGTTAATATCTGCTACTTGGAACATACGATTTCCTTTCAGAATAAATACTGGTATTTTTTGTTGTTGTAAAATTGAAATCAAGCATATAACATATTATGAAAACACCAAGAGTAGGGGACTCATCTGTCCCTTTTTGTTGTCCATACTCTTCCTATGAAGAGGGAATGCGTATGAATTAAGGCTACTACGGTCACAGAAGATCGTGGTCTTTGATGCTACCTCACAACACAAACAGGTAGTTCGTTGGGGGCAAATGAATTAGCCAACTGTTAACTGGAAGCTTTTGATAAGTTTTTTTTTTAGAACAATTTGGAACATTAAAATTTACTGAATCATATATATTCGTCTGAGTTAAAAATGTAAAAAGAATTATGGACCCTGGATGGCAATTTGCTTGATAGCATCTGATTTGCAGATACATAATTTGATTTTTAATTAAATACATAGGTTATGATGAAGTGAATAGACATATCAGTGAACAGTTAACTATATTAAAATTTTATTTCCTTTTTTTAAGATTCCAACCTCAGTTATATAAATTTCAGTTTAATATCAACCAAACAATTAAAATTTTAATGTAACCCTTATGTGTGTAAATTGATGTCCCAAACCAGCTTTTAATGGTGGACTTACAGAATCCAGTACTTTTAATGGTGGGAATTTTCAATACAGTAGAAGCATCCTTTGCTGAGTTATACATTCCTTTATCAATCTCTTTTGATACAACATTTAAAACAAGCAGCTTCAAGAAACCATTGGTGTTTTGAGGATAATATTTCTAAATAGCATTCAGGAAGAGAGTATTATTACACAGATCTGAAGATCAAAAAACAGCTCAAGGAAATGCAGATCGGAAGTGCTGATGAGTTATATTTATTGAAAACTCAACTTTTAAGGAAGTGCTAAGATCAGTCACCCATGTGAATAAGAAGCCAGGAAAGGAAAGATGGAGAAGCCCAGATCACCAGACTTCTGTGAAGGAGGAAAGCAACAGAGGAAAACAGTGAAAGGGAACAGAAAGGGGTAGCAAAGTGTTACAGAAAAGCCAACTGGATAGACAGAACTGCAGAAGGTGTATGTTGGGGAGAACTGAAAGGGAAAGCAAAATACTTGAGATAGTCTTAAGCAGAAGAAGGCAATTAGAGAAAACAAAGTGTCTACTGGACTTGTCAACATACAGACTTCAAGATATCCCTTATGAGAATCCAAAGAAAGATGTGTAAGGGAAGATTTTATTTGCCCTTCCAGAAGAAATCAGTATCTATGCAAATCTTGAAAGATGAAATCAAAGCTCATAATGATTCAGAATCAGTGCTTGACCTTCTGTATTCTGAATGGTGAACTCTGGAAGCAGGGATTGTGTCTGTCTGGCTCTTTTTAGAGCTGGAAATGTAGTGGCTTTCATTAAATACTTGCTGTAAAGTCTTTCTAAGACCAATTATCATCTTAGCATGTTTCAGTATCTTCTCTGTCATAGACCCTAAGTTCATTAGGGGGAAAAAAAAAAAAAATTCAACAGAATCCGCATTTGAAGTGTGCCATTGGTACTTGTTTATGAAATTACCAGATATTCATAAATGTGACAGATGAACAGCAGGATTATGAATTATCACAGGAAAAATATTTGCTGAGGTGAAAAAATCTGATATTTGAGGAAGTTTTTATTTTTTTTTATTTATTTTCTTTTTGAGGTGGACTCTGTCGCCAGGCTTCTTTTGCCTCAGCCTCCCGAGTAGCTGGAACTACAGGCGTGCGCCACCACGCTCAGCTAATTTTTGTATTTTTAGCAGAGACAGGGAGGAAGTTTTTATTTTTATAAACAAAATCTGATGTTCAGAGGCCCCGTTTTTTACAATAAATGTTGAGTCTCAGTTAAGCAGGAATTTGTGAACAACCATTTCCTGACTTTTTGCTTTAATTTAGATTTTTCTCCACTCTGTTTCTAGCACAACAATTTGCCTGCTGTGTTACAAAAATAAATTTATATTGTCCTGTGCCATAAAGTGATATATTTAATATTTTTATTCTTTGGTTTTGAACATTGTAAGTTCCTAAAAACATTTTATTAACTAGACATTTTGTTATTAAATAAATGTGATCTGTCATTTCTTTGTGCAGAATGATTTGAAGTATTTAGTTTACATGCATTATTGGTTCATTATTAATATCTAATGGAAATACATATTGTTATATTGTACATGATATTGTGTATTATTATTAGAGCTCTTGATCAGCACACCTGTGGAGTCAGTATATAATACATGTAGTAAAGAAAAGAAGGGCAAAGATGATTAATGACCATAAGTCACAGAAATTAGTTTATAGTCATCTGCCACAGACACAGTAGTGATGTTTCATCTAACAACAGACCACATATATGACCTGGTCCCATATTACTGTATTTTTACTGTGCCTTATCTATGTTTAGATACACAAGTGCTTACCATCATTTTACAGTTGTTTACAGTATTAGGTACAGTGACATGCTCTACAGGTTTGTAGTCTAGGAGCAATAGGCCATACCAAATAGCCTAAGTTTGTAGTAGGTAACATCATCTACATCATCTAGGTTTGTATGAGTACATTCTGATGTTCACACAGTGACAAAATTGCGTAAGGAAGCATTTCTCAGAATTTGTTCCTGTGATTAAGTGATATATAACAGTACTTCCAAATGCCTGTCTATTTTACAGATGTAAAAAAAAGTTGAGAAGAAAATGGGGTTATCGTAACTGGCTAAGTTAGTAGGTTTCAAACCTGGGTGATAACAGAGTTGCCTAGGAAATTAAAGATATAGATTTTTGGAAACCACCCCTTGAATTCTGATGTATTGAGTCTGTAATAATATCTAAGAAACTCTGTAAATGGGAGTGCTGGTGATGTCTGGCGGTCAGTTGGTTTGAGAATTAATGAGAAGGCCACCTTTTCACTTTGTGGAAGAACAGAATGAGGTCTAAGCGGTCAAAGTAAGTAGAATATGTTCTGGAATCTTGGACAGTGCACTTTCCAATGCTTGGTAAGTAGTCTGAGGCAAAGGTGCTAGCTAACAGTCTCACTCACTAGCTAACAGTCTCACTACACAACCTTTAAAGGTTTTCAAGTAAAACATTTTTTAGATATGTTTTTCTTAGAACTAGTTGTTCAAAAGAAAAGTCAGTGGGAAGAAAATGCAATCCTATTTAATTCCTCTGCTCCAATATTAAGATACTAAAACTACCATGTTTTTTACCCAAGGACCTTGAACTATTCGTGAATTGGAAGCACTGTCATACTTTAATGGAGTGATTCTAAGTTAACTGATAGTGTTCCTGAGGCCATTTATAAACCACACACACAAAAATAATGATTTATGTATGTAATTCATCCAAAAGAAATCTGTTGAACATCTACTGTGTGTCAAATATTTTGATGGATAATTTCACTTTTATTATCTCATTGTTTATAACAATTCCAGCTTATTTTCCCCTTTTATAGAAGAAGAAAGGGCTCAAATTGAGTTTTGAAATTTGAACCCATGATTTGACCCAAACTCTGCACATTATACGGAGAAATTTTTAGTATATATTTTCTGTGATATGCTAGATGTGTATTGAATCACAGATTAAAAATAAAATATGTAAGGCTTAAATTCCATTTTAGAATACTGACTCTGTAATGATAACGAGTGGTATTACTTTTTTAATACATGGTGTATATATGGTATAAATATGATAACATTCTAGGATATTAATTATAAACCAGTAGTGGGAGTAGGGACTGTGCCCATATTCATTAGCCTATCAGACATTGTGTTTTTTAATTTTAGTGTATCTTGCAAGTGCAGCTGCAACATTAGTCTTCTAATAACCTACTCTTTCTACTAGATTACTGCCCATAAACTCCTTTAATACAGAAATTCTGGAACTGCCCTCTATTGGTTAGTGCTGGAGATGGGTAAATCATTAGTCAAACTAGGCTATTAAACCATTAATTGAAATAAATGCTCTTGAAAAGTTCAGTCTATCCAATCTATTAGCCATAGCCTTCAAATTGGCTAAGGTTCTCTTACCGTCAAATCTTACTCATCTGATTTGCCTTTCTTGATGTATCAAGCCAATCACAAAATTCTCTTGATGCTGTTAACAGAATATGTCAGCCATCACCGCTGTAACAAAAGCCCTCATCTTCTCATTTATACTAAGAGCCTCTAGTCTTTCCATTTTCTCTTTCATACTGTTGCTGTAATGAATTTTTTTAATGCCATGTTTCATTAGTCGAAATCCTACCGAATAAAAAATCTACACTAAAATCTACACTATCTATGACATATGAGGCCCTTAATGAACTGGTCTGTGTTAGAGTCATCTGTTACCACTACTCCCTTACAGTTTCCTTCCCCAGTTTACACTGCAGCTACACCGAACCACAAATAATGTTATCTCTGATGTGCCATGTTCTTATGCTTTCATTTCTTTACTTACCGCATTTGTCTGCCTGGAAAACCTAGGACTTATTCTTTGAGATCAAAAGCCATTGAGCCTTTCCTCCCTCCTCCAAAGCAATAGGTATTAACTGTCTACACAATTTCACATTTTCTATATTCCTCCATTCTAGCAATTACTAAATACAGAATTATTTGTCTCTAAAATAAAAATTCTATAAAAGTCTAAGACCGTGACTGGAACTAAGTTTCCAAATTGCTTTGCCCATAATAAACAAAAAGTACTTTATAATTGAAAAACTACATGAAAGAATATTTTGAAAATTGGAACTGTGTCTCATACATAAAGTAACTGCTTTTCACCAGATTATTTGGTTAGCCGATATACCCATGTTCCTCGCTGTTTCTTGTAGCAGAAATTTACTATCTTAAATAAACTTTTTTTAATTACAAAACATTCTCTTATTTTTAAACAAACGTTATTAGCTATATGCTGCATATTGTTAAATACTGGAGATGAAGCATGATTGACATCCATTCATTCCCATTTCTTGGACTTTCCAAAATTTATACATTTCAAAAACACCAAAATTACCTGATCTAGTAATCATGGACATGAAGATGCATAACGAATCATTGTTTATACACTGGGTACAGTGTGAGGCACTTTACAGACATTGTCAGACATTGTCTCATTTAATCCTTAATCCCTTCACAAATGCTAGTGTTAATTTCTTCACTTTACTGTTCAGGAAGCTGAGATTTCAGTTAATATGTTTAAGGTTATAATGAAATTGACTCCTAGGTCTGTATGATTATAAAGTCCACAATGTGAATCATACATTTATCATCAATTTGCCTAGAATTGTATTGAAATACTTTTTCAGAATAAAATGAGCACATCTGGAATGAGATTGCTATTTAATATTTCTGTGATCTCACTTTCCTTGAAAAATTTAACATTCAGCAATCCACATAAACACTGCACTTATAGACTCCTTTTTAGTAAATACCTACATTTATAGCAATAAAAAGAATGGTGAACATTTTAAAAGTAGATGTATGGCCCTATTATCTGCTTTGCTGTATAGAGGATGTTATAATTTTGTTACTAGATGCAAAACACTGGCTAAGACTGGCAGACAAATTCAGAGAGCCAGTTTTGGCATAGATCTCTCATTTTTTGGCAAAACTTGTTAGCAATGTAGAAGCTGTTATTGAGAGCATATTGTGATGATACATCATGTCAATATTTGTTTGGCTGAGTAACACTTGCGTTTAATAAATTAATTCTTAAATGCACAATTTACAACTGATGAGCTGTTTTAGAAATAAACTAATTTTTGTTGTCAGTGCCACAAACATTTTGACAAGTCTCTGGTGGAGATACTAGCTTCTCGGATTTTTTAGATAAATGTATGGATAGATTAGGACTTTCTGAATTATCTGTAGGTGTGCACATTATGTAGGAATGAAACATGAGAGACAATGAATGAGTAAATAAATGAGTCACATAGATAAATTAACCAAAAGGACTGTAGCGAGGTCACGTTGTGCTTGTGGGGAACTACATCCTTGAGTAAGGAAATACCATATTTGTTTCTCAAAGCAATAAAAAATGAGGGCTTTAGGGAGCTGTAGTCACTATGACAGATAGGGTGTATTTCTGTCAATTCCATATACATACTAAATTTAATCTAGAACTTTCATAATCCTGCTGTATGGATTGGAATAGAGAGCAAAAGAAGTGACAGACGCCCTTCAATAGAAATTGCTGAAGACTCAATTGTAGTTGCTTCCCAACATGAAAATAATTATGTTCCAAATATTTTGATTTAATTTTTAAATTAAGCCAGTACCTTGTTACCTAGGAAAGAATAATACCTGTATTCATAGAACCTTGGATTTGGGAAGATATTTTCTAAAGTGTAATTCATCTCCCTATTATTTCCTAGTACGGTTATATTTTTGAAACCATTAAAAAAAATAGTATTTCACAGGAACTTCAATAAAATGAACCAGATTCTAAGGATGCCATCCTCTTGCTGTAAACAAATAAATAAATGTAAAATTCCAATCTATTATTCCTTACCTTCTATACTTTCTAGAGTTGACCCTTGAAGAATGTGGAGATTCAAGGCATTGACCCTTTGCACAGTCAAAAATCTACATATAACTTTTGACTCTCCAAAAATTTTACTAATAGCCTACTGCTGACCAGAAGCCTTAGCAATAACATAAACAATTGATTTAACACATATTTTGTAGGTTATACACTGTTCATCCTTGTCTTCACGTTGAGTTGTCTGAAGAAGAGGACGGGTTAGCACAGGCAGAAGAAAATCCATGTATAAATGGACCCGTGTGGTTCAAACCTGTTTTGTTCAAGGGTCAACTGTACGTTTTACCTTCATTATATACCTTCTATCTCCACCCATACTCCCACCAAAAAACATGGCTTTGTTCTGAAAAGCTGGGAGTCCCCTAAAGATTTTCCTAAAATGCAGTTTCTTTGCTCCATTTTGAAGCATTCTTTGCAATTGGCCAAGTCAGCATTTAGCTTTGTTGCCTCACTTTGTCCTCAGTCTACCTAGACAGACCTTGCATGTCTTTCCTTTTTGCGTGTGACATTTTTTTAACCCTAACTACTGCTTTTGCTAGTGTCCCAAACTTCATCTCCTATTTTACTTGACTATACTATTTAATAGTGAGTTTACATTAACCCTTCCAAACATAGGGATTGAAGAGTATCCTACATTAGAAAGGAATGTTTTCCATATTGTCAAATGCAACAGGACTTGAATAAACCTATAATTAGTAGATCCTTCCTCTAGATACAATTATAGTCCTGGAGCAGTTGCCAGAATTTGATGCGTCCATGAAATATATAGGGTGATGTTCCAGGGTAATTAACAACATCACCATTTTAAAATATTTTGTATCTTGGGTTAAAATGAGTTATAATTAAGTTTTGAGGATTATATAGTTAGTGCCTAATGAATGTGTCAGATAATCAGTGCTATAGCAATAGATGACTGTTACAGTGCTGTTATAGATGACTTCACAGTGGAGGGTGGCGGATTTTAGCAGGAACTTGAAGGGAAGACATGGGAAGACATTCATGAATTTAGTCAGTAAGCATGAATTTAATGAGCAAGCACTTTATTTTTATCCACTGCTCTTATTGATAACTAGACAAAGTGCATGGAGCTGATAGCATAACAAGAGAGAAAGACAATAAGCAAATATAATGTCAAGTGCTATTTTTTAAGTCGAAGCACAGCATTTCAGTTAAGGTGATAAGGAGTAAGTGCTATTTTGGATAAGATGATAAGGAATACCCTTACATAATTGTGTGAAAGAACAGTATTCCAGATAGTAGGAAGAGAAAAGGTAAGCTGCCTTATAGAAAAACTTCAGTTGACCCATGCACATATGAGGAGACTTCAAAAAGCTTGTGGAAAAAAAATGAAATTAAAAGATTTTTTAAAAGTAAATTCTATTTCTTAATGTAAACTCTGTCAAGTTCAAGACACGTTTGTAAGTGATGAGACCAGCCATTTAGTTTATCCCTGAAGAACTGAGGGTCCTAGAAATGTAGCCATGTCAATATAGTCTTTTTTATTGGTTGAAAGAAAAAAAAAAAAAAAGAGTGCTCTTTAAAGATTTTTTAAGATTGGGAAACAAAAAGAAGGACCCAATCAGGACTGTAAGGTGAATGCCTAATGATATCCCACCCAAACTCAAGCAAAATTTCCCTTGTTTGATGAGGGTCATCAGCAGCCAAATTTCTTCTTTTTGCTTAGTCTTGCTTGGTTATGTGGGCTCTTTTTAACTTTCACAGGAATTTTAGGATTGTTTTTTCTAGTTCTGTGAAGAATGATGGTGATATTTTGATGGGAATTGCATTGAATTTGTAGATTGCTTTTGGTAGTGTGGTCATTTTCACAATATTGATTCTACCCATCCATGAGCATGGGATGTGTTTCCATTTGTGTTGTCTGTGATTTCTTTCAGCAGTATTTTGTACTTTTTATTGTAGAGCTCTTTCACCCTCTTAGATATATTCCTAAGAGGGTGAATATAAGTTAGATATATTCCTCTCTCTCTATATATATATTTTTTATATTATTTTCTATATATAGAATATATATATATAAATTAAAAATATTTTTTTTTTTTTTTATATTTTTATATATTTTTATATTATATATTTTTTTTTTTTTTTTTTTTTTTTTGCAGCTATCATAAAAGGGGTTGAGTTCTTGATTTGATTCTCAGCTTGGTCACTGTTGGTGTATAGGAGAGCTACTGATTTGTGTACATTAATTTTGTATCCGGAAACTTTTGCTGAATTATTTTATGAGTTCTAGGAGCTTTTTGGAGGAGTCTTTAAGGTTTCCTAGGTTTACAATCATCATCAACAAACAGTGGCAGTTTGGCTTCCCCTTTACCAATTTGGATGCCCTTTATTTCTTTCTCTTGTCTTATTGTTCTGGCAGGACTTCCAGTGCTATGCTGAAGAGAAGTGATGAGAGTGGGCATCCTTTTCCTATTCCAGTTCCCAGAGGGAATGCTTTCAACTTTTCCCCGTTCAATATTATGCTGGCTGTGGCTTTGTCATAGACAGCTTTTATTACATTGAGGTATGTCCCTTGTATGCCAATTTTGCTGAGAGTATTAATCGTGAAGGGATGCTGGATTTTGTCAAATGCTTTTTCTACATCTATTGAGGTAATAATGTGATTTTTCTTTTTAATTCTGTTTATGTGGTTTATCAAATTTATTGACTTGTGTATGTTAAACCATCCCTGCATCCTTGGTATGAAACCCACTTGATCATGGTGGATTATCTTTTTGATATGTCATTGG